TATATTCTCCCAATTTCTCCTAAAAGCATAATATATTGCGCTTGATATCATAGTTTTCGTTAGGTAAAGTTCAACAAACTCAATTAATATTCGAACTCTTCGAAATAGCTATCTACATGCGAATATGAAGTATTGAGTAGCTAAAACTCTACTTGAGTTGGTACAATCTTTTGCGCTATCGATTCAAAATTCAATACATATTATCTTAGTACAATTTAGTCATACTAATTGTGCAGTAGGAGACATCTTATCAAAATCTTAAAGAAAGACTCTTTGATTGATCGCTTTATTGATGTAATCAATTATACCAAAATAGAAGTGATCAAATTTATAAGATGCACTCAAAGTTTGCTATAATTATTGAGGTTCAGCAACACGTTAGGCGTACGATGGTCATTAGGCATTTGTCTATCTCCTAGCTTGCCTAGACATGCTTAGACATTATAATAAAAATAGCAATTTTAATAATAATGAATAAAATAACGGTTCTGAAGCAATTTCATACTTTAGTTCAAATGATTTAACAACAAATGAAATAACTCTCAAGTTTATAAATTATTTTCTTTTACCAAATGATATAATTAATTCATTCATGAGCTGAAATAGCTAATTATAAGCACTTCAAATTTAAGTTAAAACTCTATATGATGCAATTGTTTGACGAAATGGGTTTTTATAATAGAGTGGTTCTATCGAGAGAGGTCTCTAAGAAACATGGCTTACTTTATTATTCCTTAGGTGGATATAATATCTATCTTCATCGTTACTTTTACATTGGATTCAATTTAGTATACTTTTTCATTAAGATAGATTTTTTTATGATGTTTTGGGATATAATATATCATTATATATGATGGTGTAGGATATTAATTCCTCTCATTTTAGGTTCAAATTGATGCATTTTCCCCTTAACCGTTCCCTTTTATTGGTTAATAATTTTTATGATAATTTTCACTTTGAAATATCGTGAGCGGAATCTATACACAACAATTTGTGTTTTTTCGCTTCCTCTTCTCTTGGTTAAATATTGTGTCCATATTGATTCCTATATTGATTATCGAAATACTACTTTTTTGTTCTTTTTTCTGATGCAAGATATGATTTTATGTTTGATAATATAGATTTATTTTGCAAGCATGTGGATGCTTGAGAGTAGGTTGTCAACCTGTGGGTCGACCCACTTTGACCCTGACCCAGTGAGAAAAACGGGTTGCACGCACCCGCCGAGTCGACCGCTACATGGTACCGGGTTAGAGGTCAAATTGTGTCATTTTTTTATTTGGTTTGCGAAATGCGCCTATTTTCCGATTTTCATTTCGCCTAACTCTATCTTTGGAATCCTAAGTTGAACATTTGAATATTTTTGTTATATAATTGTGTGTGAATTTTCACTATATGTTGGATCTAAGTACGACATGTTATTTTAGTGTAATATTATATGTTATAACTCATACGTTAAATGAGATTTAATATAATTTATCAGGATAAGTATAATATAATGACTCTTTCCATATTTTTGGGCTAAAATGGGCTAAATCGGGAGACCCATTAACCCTTGACCCACTAGCTTCACCGGGTCCGGGTCAACCCGCTGGTTGACAACTTTTTGAGACTTTTCATTTGCCTCATAACTTACATTTTACAATGGCTCCAAACTTGGATGTGTTTCTATTCAGCACATAAATTTTTAATGATGTAAAATTTATGAAACTAAGATGCATATTAATAAACAATATAAGGTCTCATCTTCCCTCTTAAGCACTACATATCATTGTTTACTTACCATTAAATGAAAGTCTTTCTAACTTGAGTAAGAGCTACAATGACTTTTATTAACTTTAACTACTCATACATCACAAGTGTTCAAATCATTATCAAGTGTTCATACAATGACTTTTATTGTTGTGGATTTCCCCCAAAATGTTAGGTATGCTGCATTTAGTTTTTGCCTTTTTTTCGCTTTGATTTAGCTTTTTATGTGTTGCTCTATTAGTTGAACTTGCAGCTGGAGATCTGTATGCTTTGTTTCATTATATCATTGAATACACTAAAGTCAATGGAACCATGACTGTGTGAGTTAGTTTGTTTTTTTAAGTACACTCTAAACATATAGTTTGTTTCATTATATCATTGAATACACGAAAGTCAATGGAAAAGGCAAAAAAAGTTATCGTATACTGAAGATTGATTATGTATGTGTGATGTAAAACAACTCTTATCATTGTTCATCTTAGACATTTTTATATAGATATGACTTTGTTTGAAATATGAATTTATGTTAGTGTAGTTGGGCGTTGTTTGTCATTTTTTAAACTTCATTAGTCAAATACATTAAATACTTTCCTATATTATTCATGGAGAACTTACCAAATTAAATTGTTACTTCAATCCTCAATGTTTACTACACATGCACATAAAAATCAAACTCTCCCGGCCAAAAGGCCGGGCCCTAATCTAGTAGTATATTATATATTTGCAGATCCAGCCTATGTTCTAATTTACAATTAAACAATAAAAATTATTTTTTCCCTAGTGGAAGTGGACTCAAGAAGTGAGGGTCGCTTTTGTTTATGATTTGAGCAAAGTTTAGAGGGATTGATTACATAGAATCTAGGATCTAGGTAATCATGTTAGATCCAAGGTTTAGGCCGGCTGCAATTAATTCTACCAACTCCTGAATTCGGTCTCAGCCAATATACAAGTGCATGCAACCATTAATAAGTACAAGGATTTATTAGCTAATGTCGTAAAACTGATTTTGAACATATCATTCAAGTAACTGTGGGTCGCTTCTCTATAGATTCTTCTCGAAATAAAATGAGTAATTTTAGGGGATAAATTCCCAAAATATTATTTTTATTATTATTTACCACCAATATGGTGGTTTTAAATTAATTGACACAGATATTGTGTTTTTGTGGGGAAGACATGTGTTTTCGCGTCAGATAGATTCGGACCCGCATCATTTGTATTTTTGACTTAAAAAGACGGACCCGCGTGGGACTGGTGCGGATACGTTGGGTTTCTTTAAAGTGCGCTGACAGATTCCTTGAAATTTGACCAGCAGACTCGCATTAGTCTCATGCGGATTCACGACCTTTTTTACCCACTCCAGCGCGCACACACACACACACACACACACACACACACACACACACACACACACACACACACACACACACACACACACATATCTTCCTCCATTCTCTTCCTTTCAGTATCACCACACCAAAAACTGATATGAAAACGAGAGGGAGGAGCTCTGCTGGTTGCTGCAAAGATGGCTAGGTAAGAGACACATTTATTTATTTATATTACTAAAATGCTATTATAATTTTCTTTAGTTAGTAATTAGTGAATTTTTTTGTTATGTAGTGATTTTAGGAGATTTGAACTAATTGTTTGGTGGAAATCGGAGAAAATAGAGGACAATTTGGGCGTCCATTTCGCTGGTGGTAGAAGGTTTCAGTTGACAGTTCCATGCCGCGTGACATATCATCAATTTTGTGAGAACCTAATCTCGAGAATATGGCGTAGAGACGAAACAGTACAAGATAGTGATATGATCACATGTTTCACTTACCGTCTTCCAGAATGGTAGAATGGTGTTCTATTTCATTATGAGATGCCTATTGTGGATGATGATGGTTTGAATGTGCTTTTCGATTTTATGGCACAAAATCCTTATTGTTTGTGACGTCTAAATTTGAGTCTCGCGCGACCCCTCAATTCTTCCCCTACAAAACACAATATCTGTCAATTAATTTAAAACCACCATATTGGTGGTAAATAAAAAAACAATATTTTGGGAATTTACCCAATTTTAGGAGGCTTTCATCCCATCTCTTACCATAATGGATTCATCATTAAATATGCCATAATGGATTCATCACATATTTAAAAAAAAATATAAAATTAGATGTACCTTAATTTTGAATCAAATATTGTCATTTTATCCTCAAACTTACATTTTTCATCCCACCCTCATTGATTGCTTTTGATCGTGGTGCACTAATAAACTTGGTCATTGCTTTTCTAATAAACCTGGACATTAAGAATAATTAACCTACACAATTCTGGGGTATAAAAAGCAAGGGGAAGGAATAGCTACGCTTAGGGTGGGCATCAGTTCGGGCCGGACAGAATCGTACCAAACTCAGGAGAATCGCGATCAAATAAAGTATGATATCTTAGGACCAGGTACCGGTCCGGTATGGACCAACCATTGCCCACCTTTAGTTGCGGTAGATAGGGGCGTTCAAATGGTTATCATGATAATCAGCAAACCAAACAAGCTAAAAAACATGGTCATTGTCAAATTTGGACGAAGATGCTCTCAACCCCTCTTGGTGAATCGACTGCTCCGGCGCCAACCCTCTTCCCGTCCGATCGGCCAACGGACACAACGATACCCTCTTCTTTCCCTATTATCGGAGCTGGGTCGTTGGCTCCCAAAGAGACAGCTGCCCCAGACGCTGATATGTTAATTGACAGTGTGGCTTCTGTGAGCCAGACTTTGGTCCCGAGAGAGTCCTTGCAATCCTCTCCGGCCAGTCAAGCGGCGTCCCATCCCCTTTTCACGTACTATCTAGCGGTCACCAGAGCTCCAGTTGCGGCATCAACCTAACCGCTAGCTAGTCAGTGGACGCCGGTTGGTGAACACGATCTTGTGCCTTGGGAGCGCAATGGGGAACCGGCCTTGAGCATCTCCCTGAACTTCAAGGAAAGAATCTATGCACATTGGAAGCGCACTTTGGTCGTCAGACTTATTGGTGCTAAGGTCGGTTTCACTACTCTATGCGCCCGCCTGCGACATCTCTATGGCCAGTCAGGACTTTGGAAGCTATGAATCTCGATCATGATTGTTTCTTCGTAAAGCTAAGCAACGAGCAGGATTACTTTCGTGCTCTCACAGATGTCCATGGATGATTTATGATCATTACCTGGTAGTTCAGCAATGGACTCACAAGTTCAAGGTTTCGGACCCTCTACCGAGGATGATGATCGTCTGGGTCTAGCTCCCAGCTCTGAAAGTGCACTTTTATCACAAGGAGGTGTTGATAGTGCTCGGAAATCTCATTGGGTGGACCATTAAGCTCGACTACCACACCCTAACGAGACAACGTGCCAAGTTTACCCGGCTGGCGGTAGAAGTGGATCTCTCCAAGCCCTTAGTTCCAAGGATTTGGCTGGATGATGAATGGTAGAAGGTCGAGTTCGAGAATCTGCGCGTCGCCTGCTTCGAGTGTGGCAAAATTGGTCATTCATCCGACTCCTGCCCCCTTCTGCACCCAGCTGCATCACCGGCGGCACTGCCACTCCTCTGCGGGGCGTGGATGCTAGTTAGGCGAAAAAGCCGGCGAAATTTAAGGGATCAGGATAAGAAAGGTAAGCAAGAGTCTGAGGCTGGGATTCCGGGATCTGGCAAGGATGGAAAGAACGGTAAAGGGGGAAACACGAATAAGGAAGGAAGGTCTCCCCTTCCTCAAGTTATAAATAGCAGCGGTTCTCAATCTCCCCAAATCGGCTCACAAGAAAGGAAGGTTGGCAATGGAAAGAAGGGTGGAAGTGATACGCGGAAAGGCAAGGAAAAGTTGGGCTCCCCCCAACCCCCAACTGAAAAGGGCCTGCTCAGGCCGGGGCCCAGTACCGTGATTAAGATTGGACAGGAGCCGAAGGCAGACTTTGAGACCCACGAAGCCCAATCCTCGACGAGTGCATAGAACAAAATGGGAAAAATACCAAGGATCTTAAGATGATGGGCCATGACGGCGTTTCGGCCCAGGAAGAAATGCCTCAAGTTCTCAGATTCCCCCTCCCATTCACTCAATCACCGGCCCAAACGGGACAGCGATGCAAATCATCTCAGTCCAACCAACGGGAGCGTCACTCTACGGGAAACTCAGCGACGCGACACCATCAACAGCCTCCAGAACGAAGAAAGGGAAGAACTCTAAATTGCGCGGATGGAAAGGATCTTTTGCCAAACTCAATCCGACTAGGACCCTTCAAATATGGTCCCCATTAAAGGAGAGGAAATCAAAAAACAAAGCCAGCTTGGCGACGTTAACCCTTCAAGACATCAACGGGTGGACTGACGCTCAGGGGCGTTCCCCCTCGGGAACGATCGACCAAGCCGCTACGGAATATCTAGGCCAACGACCACAAGCGGGGTTACTGGAGGGGGAGATGCTTACCTCCGCTCACTGATTTTCTTATTGAATCTTCTTTCCCTCTGTTTTTCTTCTGTTTTTGCTTAATTTATGTCTAGTAATCATAGCATTATAATTTTTTTCTTGGAACGTTGGTGGTGTTGGTAACATTGCCTTCGTTGGAGCTCTTCGCCTAGCTATCCAGCAGCAGCGTCCGGATTTTGTGATTCTTCTGGAACCCCAAATCAGTGGGGACTCAGCTAATTCTGTTTGCGACAAGTTGGGTTTCCCCAATTCGATGAGGGTTGAAGCCGAGGGGAGAAAGGGCGGAATCTGGGTGTTCTGGGTTTCCCCAAACCTACAGAGCAAGTCGTCTTGATAGGAGTCTTTGCAATCCGCAGTGGAACACGAGCTTCCCCAACACTGCCTCGCTTCCACTCCGATCATAATCCATTCATGACCTCCATTACCGTACAGGGACGTCCCCCCTCTGTCCCTCGACCTTTCAAATTTGAATCTACGTGGTTCACCCACGACAGTTTCGCAGATTTTATCTCTGATTCCTGGGATTCTGACACTCTTTTCCACGCTGCCTTGTCCCAGCTTGTTGGGTAACCTTCAAGATTGGAATATCAACACCTTCGGCAATGTGCAGCATAAGAAGAGGCGTTTGCTTTCTCGGCTCAAAGGAGTTGAGACTAGATTGGCGGTCGTGTTCTCCCCGATCTTGCCAAATTGCACTCCAAGCTGGAGGTCGAGCTCAATAATGTCTTGGCTCAAGAGGAGCTGATTTGGTTTCAGCGAGCAAGGGAGAATTGACTTGAGTATGGGGAAAGGAATAATGCTTATTTTCATCAGCTGGCCAATATTAGGAGGCGCAGAAATAAGATTGACACTCTACAGGACGAGAGCGGGAATTGGGTGACCGATCCAAATGCACTTGTTGCTATAGTTGTCAATTTCTTCGCGAATCTTCATACGCAGGATGATTCCCATTACGAAGACAGACTTCCAAAGGATTCCTTCTCGCGGTTTACTCAACCGGAGTGGCTCGTTCGACTCTGGCCTTTTACAATAACAGATTTCCACATGGCTATCTTTGATATGAAACCCTTCCAGGATCCTGGTCCGGATGGTTTCCAGGATGCTTTCTTCCAACAGATGTGGAGAGTCGTAAAAGAACCTTTCGGAGATGGTTGTTGATTTCTTCTCCACCGGGAATCTACTAGAGACGGTTTCTGAATCAACCGTGCTGCTTATCCTGAAGGTGGAAAATCCAGGGCGAGTGACTCATTTGAGGCCCATCTCTCTTAATAATGTGAGCCTCAAATCCATCACAAAAGCTATGACGAGTAGACTGAAGCCCCTCATGAGGAAGCTAGTGTCTTCCAGACAGAGTAGCTTTATTCCAGGCAGGCAGATGATTGACAACATCATTGTGGTCCAAGAGGTTCTTCACTCACTCAGGCGTAAGAAGGGAAAGAAGGGTGGCACATTGTGAAGATCGACCTGGAGAAAGCCTATGATAGACTTCTCTGGGACTTCTTGCGGGATACCTTGAAGGAAGTTGGTCTCCCTAGCTCTTGGATCAGCTGTATAATGCACTGCGTGGAGCAGAACCGAATGAGAATCCTGTGGAATGGATAACTCTCTCAACCCTTCTCCCCGACTAGGGGAGTCCGTCAGGGAGACCCTCTATCCCCCTATCTCTTTGTTCTTTGCATGGAACGTCTTTCACATTTGATTGGTGCAGTTGTAGGTAGTGGAGAATGGAAACCTCTTAAAATGTCTCAGAATGGTCCGCCACTCACCCATCTTTTATTTGCAGATGATCTGTTGCTCTTTGCAGAAGCCGAGACTCGGCAGATTGGGATAATTAAACGTTGCCTAGAAGACTTCTGCTTTAGCTCAGGCTAGCGTGTGAATTTCAATAAGTCCATGCTTTTCGTTTCACCCAACATTGCTCACCAGAAGGCAGAAAGGTTGAGTCGCCGATCATGCATTCCTTTGACGGCCGACCTGGGGAAGTATCTTGGGATTCAGGCGATCCACAGGCGCATCACGAAAGAGATATACCAGTCACTCCTCCTTCGAATTCAAAGGAAGCTAGCATATTGGAAAGCTAGACGTCTCTCCTTTGCGGCTAGGCTTACTGTTGCTAAATCGATTTTCGCTTTTTTTACCTGTTTATCATATGAATACTGAGCTAATCCCGAGTGGAGTTGCAATAGCATTGATAAAATTAACAGGGATTTCATTTGGGGAGATGAGGAGAACAGGAGCAAGATGCACTTGGTGGCGTGGGAGAAGATGACGCTACCTAAGACCATGGGTGGAGTTGGCATCAGACCCACTAGACAGGCTAACCTGGCCATGTTGGCAAAAAGTGGGTGGAGGCTTCTCAATGGAAAAGATACCCTTTGGACCCTGATCATGTATACCAAGTATGGGCGTCAGCAGAGACATCTAGACATCCTTCAACCTTCTTAGGGAAGTTCTTTTACCTGTGCAAGCTTTTCGAAAGCTGCCAAACTCATGAAAAAGGGATGTGCCTGGAATATTAAGAATGGTAAGCACACTAAGTTTTGGCTTGACCCTTGGATTTTTCAAGTTCCTCTCAAGGAGGTAGCTATTGCCCAGGTGCCGGCGGCGAGTGAGGAGGCGGTTGCGGCAGATTATGTTCAAGACGACGGGAGCTGGCAGATTGATCTATTCGAAATGCTCCTCCCACCAACTATCTCCCAAAATATTTCAAGCGTGACAGTGGAAAAACTCTCCACAGATGATGACACTCTATTCTGGTCGGCATCCTCGGACGGAAACTTCCCTGCTAGATCAGCCTACAACCTCATCAGTGACCACCTGTAGGATTTGGATGAACCCCTTTGGAAGGCGATTTGGAAGCTGCCGGTTGGAAAAAGGGTGAGAAGCTTTACTTGGCTAGCTGTGTTGGGGAGGATTGCAACTAATGTGTTGCGACACAATAGGAAGGTGGTTGATGATCCTTCATGCTACAGATGCACTGGTCAGCCGAAAACAGTCCTCCATACACCGAGGGACTGTCTGCCAGTGAGTTTCTTTAGGTCTCGAAGTGTGCCGCCCGCCCGCCAGCACTCTTTCTTCAGCTCTAATATTAAGGAATGGTTCCGGGAGAACATTGTGATCAAGGACAGCATGGCCTTCGGTATGCAATGGTCGGCCTTCTTCTGTACAACAAACTTGCTCATTTGGAAGAATCGTTCAACAACATGCTTTAAGGGTATGGGGCCAGCTCTCTCCCCGCATTCTCTTGAGCATGCTATCATGGCGAAAACTAAGCTCTGGCATGATGGCTGGAATGCCCCATCTCGTCTCCCCAGTAATAAGAAGGCTCATGTTGGGCGAGTAATGGCGAACGTTGGCTGGGCTCCCCCCCGAGGGATGGTTGTCTCTGCCTGTGGATGGGGCATCGACAGGAAATCCCGGCCCGGCCGGAGCTGGTGGTATCCTCCGAGACCCTAGTGGCAAGTGGATAGCGGGTTTCGTCGCAAACTGGGAACAGCGAAGGCCGTCCTTTATGATCTTTGGGCCATTCACTACGGGCTCAACATCGCGCGGAAGGCTGGTTGTAGATTCCTCCAGGTGGCCTCGGATTCTCAGTTGGCGATACAACTGATTAGTGCTCGACATGACCCGATCCACCCCTATGCGACCTTGTTAGCAGCTATAAGAAGAAAGATTGGCGGCGATTGGGTGGTGCGCATAATTCATACATATCAGGAAGGAAATAGAGTCGCAGACTGGCTCTCGAAGCACAGTCTCGTCTATCCCTACGGTATGCATGAACTTGCAAACCCACCTAATGGGCTGCCCCAATACTCCGAGACGATATGCTAGGTACTACTTTCGAGCGTCGAGTTGTTGCTGACACCACCTCTTCCTTGTAATCCCTTTGTAACCTATTTTTTTTCCTGACCTCGGCTCCAATCAATGCAAAAAAAAATTGGTCATTGCTTTTGTAATAAACCTGGCCATTAAGAATGATTAACCTACACAATTCTGGGGTATAAAAAGCAAGGGGGAAGGAATAGATGCGCTTAGGGTGGGCATCAGTTTGGGCCGGACAGAATCGTTCCAAACTCAGGAGAATTGCGATCAAATAAAGAATGATATCTTAGGATCAAGTACTGTTGTGGTTCGGTATGGACCAACCATTTCCCACCTTTAGTTGCGCTAGATAGGGGTGTTCAAATGGTTACCATGGTAATTACCCAACCAAACAAGCTAAAATTCTATTAACCATGGAATACAATATTATAACCAAACCGTCCAAACTAATACAACAACCAAATTAACCAAACTAAAGTTTAATCGGTTTGGTTAATTGGTTAACCAGATTAACCAATATAAAATTACATTATCAATAAGTGAGAAATTTTTTTTGATTAGTGCATCAATTCACAATTTATATTATGAATAAAACAGAACAATAAAAAATAGTTATAGTTAACCCTTAACATAAATATATACAACTAATACAATTATCTTACCGACAGTAGAAATATTCACCTAACAAAAATACATGACAATGGTATGGGTAAATGAATTGTTGTTTTTGTGTATGCCAAGTATGGTCTACACTCTATAAATACAAATATCCTGTATAGGAACAATATTGAGTTTTATTGTTGATGAGTCTAAAAGGAATGAATGTTTGGCTCTTGAGTGTTTATGCTAATTCATAAGTATGTGCATATAATATATATTAGATATATGGATAATTTCTTAATTGGTTAATTTGGTTTGATTGGTTAGGAGTGTCCGAAACCAAACCAAATCGTCTAAACCAAACATGCTATTTTTTTAACCAAATCAGACCAAGTATCCAAATTAACCAAACCAATTTAGCCAAATACTACCTGTTAAAACGGTTACCATGGTAACCACACCGTTTGAACACCCATAGCGTTAGAGGCGCATGTAGCACAGGTGCGAGAAGCCCCCCTTCTCCGCCTGTGTGTAAGGGCCACTTCCTTTCTCTTAAGCTACCAACGTGGTGAAACGTGGGGCTGAAAATCA